AAATGGAAATAGTTTATGTGCCATGTAAGGTAATTAGCCACCGCCATCGACTGTACAATATTACATTTCACCATGTACGACATGGCTGAAGACCCTGTAAATTATTTCACCTTGCTACACAAAATACCCAAACCAAATGGCTCTGTCGAAATGGATGGATGGCCATATAAAGCACCTCCAGCACAGCTTCGATGTCTGCATCTTCATATAAAGGATTTCCTAACATAATTAAGAAGCACAGTGAATTTCCAAGTGATAAGTGAAAACTGAACTCAATTCACTGACATTATCATATTTACCTCATATATATGCCTCCCCCCTTAATGCCTTAATCGCAAACTTGAGTCGGTAATATGTGATCTTTGAAGGGTGCCTAATGTAGAGACTATAAATGAACACCTACAATTTCCTTTTTTTGGATGAAACAAAACAACAAACAAACACAGAATCCAATTGCATAAATCGCTAAAACCATTAAAACCACAATGGAACAGGAATAAAACCATAATAAACTAGCAATAAAATAGCACTACGATGCTAATATAATACCACTAACATGACAATCCAACATCAATAAAACAGGAATACGATACCAACAACAACAACAAAACAATAGCAGTTTCAAACAAAGAACAAAGAACATACTCCTTCACTGTTTCAAACAAGGAATCATCACAATCAGACAATTTAAGAGAAACCCTTAAACCCTAAACCAATTTCATAGAAATCATACACCCTAAACCAACTTCAAAGAAACCCCTAAATCTAAAGAAAATGATGATAAACCGTACCTTTTGGATGTGAACGGTGAAGTTAAGCTTCAATGAATAGACACCGCTGAGGGAGAAAGACCAATGTGTTAGAGAGAGAGAGAGAGAGAGAGAGAGAGAGAGAGAGAGAGAGAGAGAGAGAGAGAGAGAGAGAGAGAGAGAGAGAGAGAGAGAGAGAGAGAGAGAGAGATTGAGAAAGACCGAAGAGAGGGTGAGAGCTGAGCGAAGATAGACTGAGAGTTGAGCGATAGAGAGACAGAGCGAAGAGAGATTGAGAGTTGAGTGATAGAGAGAGATGGAGCTAAGAGAGGTGAGAGAGAACAAAATTTCTGAAAAAATAATACAAATTTATAAATAAACCCAATCCTAGACATGTATTTATAAAAAAACCCAAACACTATTTAAACATAGAAACACACCCAAAATCAACCCCAAAGTCAACAATTGTATATTTTTTGGGTGTGTTTATAAATGAGTTTTGAGTGTGTGTAATGATGGGTTTTGGGTGTGTTTATAAAGTGTTTTGGGTATTGGGTTTTTTTATAATTTCAGCTCTTATTTTGGGTGTTTTAGTGAAACTCCCAAAAAATAATGTGTGCAATCAGTGAACAATAAAAATGTATTTATAAGTGAGAGTTTAAAATTTTAGGAGATAGGTGGTATTTTCAGAAAAAATTATAAAAAATGTGGCATTTTGAGCTATTTCCTTATAATTTTCTTCTTTTGGTTTAAAGGAGGGCTGAAGCCCAACAAGACAAACTTTACGCAGAAATCATTATGGGCCTAGACACCCGCCCCAACAAAACACCACACACAAATCTTCAAACAAGACCTGGCCCACAGCAACTGGTTGATCCCGCATAAACAGATCATTCATCCATGACACATTTTGGATTCTTTAGAACCAACCAACCACCGAATATTGGCCTCAAGGTTGAAAGACAAAACAACGAAATAACAATACGCGCGTGTTGTATAGTTGAAGGAACTGCTTATTGCACATGATCGTTTGTCTGTCTGATGCTCCACAACAATTAAGACATAGCGGTTCACAGGTTTGAATTCCCACAACATCATAGTTGTGTGTGTGAGTCTTCTTTAGTTTAGACTATCACTTGTACTATAAAAATCAAAATCATTAAGCAGTTTTACCGGGCTTAATTATTAAAGTAGGTAAATCATTAATTTTTTTTTTCTCGTTTGTTTGTTTTGCAAAGGAAGTTTCTTTGGTGTATTCGCTTTGTTTGATTGATTGGTCTATGTTGGCGTAGTTTGCAAAAATGAAACACCTGATCAACCACTAGGGAATAAGATGGGATGGGACCAAATGAAAGATTATTAGACGATAGTGAGTGATGAATGTGGGATTGGGAAGGTCATGGTTGGTTGGTACTCGATATGTTGGCCTGGTGGTGAGAGTGAGATCAAAATCAAATGGCAAGAGAGAGGCAAGTTATTAATGACAGCTGAGCTGAGCTGAGCTAGCCCCCCCAACATTTCTCACCCCAACCATCCTCAGCTTCAAGCAAGAGATGAGTGAAAACGCATCATCCTGAAAATTTGAAATGGGACCCTCACCAACTACCAGCCTCTCTCTCTCTCTCTCTATCTCTTATGTAAGGGGAGGAGGGGAAACTATTTGATTTTGTCAAGAAGCAAAATTCCAACAATGGTTTACCTGTACCAGCATAACATATGAAAGAAATGCACTGCATTATTTTTTGATGAGCTTTCAGTCTTATTCGCAGCAGAGACTAAATTTCTTTCTTCAGCATTCAACAGCTTGTGAGATTTCTTCTCCCTCCCTCCCCTGTCGTTCTTTATTTCATTGCTTGCCTAGTTATGTATGATTCTATTAATATACTGTTTGAAATGGGCATTGGCATGTATTAATTGAAAGGTTTTGACTGGATAAAATATAAGTTGGGGGCTGCAATGGAGGAATATTTGACCTTGTCTTGGTCTCTTTTTCTTTTGGCCAGTTTCAGTTACATTGTCTTGGTCAAGAATGGCTTCAGCAGACATTCACTTTTAAGTTTTAACTAACAGGAGTTTTCAAGTGCTATAAGCTTCCAGATTCATGCTACTCTTCTCTCCGTGGTTTGTTTAACTTGTTCATAATTTCTCTGTTCTCTCTTTCAGGCTCGGATATCCTCCTTCATCTTTCTTTTTTTCCTATAGATTTCTGAAGAAAACTCACATAACAAAGAAGAAATAGGATTCTCAGTATACCTATAGATTTCTGCAGCTTTATTATCATATACTCTTCATCAGTATAGTGGACAACCGAAACATCATTTTGCAGTTCATAGAGAGGTACTGGTCAGAAAAGAAAAGAAAAACAAAGAATACCCTAGTAAATGAAAATATAGTTTCCATTTTTTGTTTGCGAAAAGAAATTGAAAGTTTTGCTTGTTAATCCACATATCCACTACTAGTGCTATCATGCATTAAAGAAACACTCATGCTGTGCGGCCTGTGCCTGTGCCTGTGCCCCTCTCCAGTCTCATGCAACAGATAATCTTTATCATCTAAAGTTGAACTTATTTATTTGTTTATTTACCCTACAGAGTTGGGTTGCAGGACAAAGACATTCAGGGAAAAACATGGCATCAAGAAACCCTGTCCACAGCCTTCCTGAAAAGATTCATTCCTTACTAGGATTGAAGTCACATCTGACTTCCAGCTGGGTTAAATCTGTTTGTGATATAATAAGAAACCAACCTTCTCAAGGACAATCCACTGAGACTCACTTAACCATTACAAATTTTGAGATAAACAGTTGTTCAGAGAACCGTGATGATGATGATGATTTAAGCAATGCTGCCTCAAATATTAGAGGTAAATGTAAATCCCTTGGCAATGGCATATCTATCTGCTGCACTGCATATATTTTATTTTCTTACAATGTCCATCTGAATATGATCATTCTATTCATCAAACACCTATACCCTTCTCAATTCTCTCTGTGTCTGTCTACAGATGAACTCGCTATCTTGACTGCCCACATTAATGAATTGAACAAACAGAGAAGGCAGGTTCTAAATGAATTTCTGGACCTGAAAGGTTAGTCATTGTTAACTTAAGTATCGTATTTTAAGGGAGATTTCAAGTCTGATGTGTTACCAAGCGTCCTTACCATCCTATTACAAAACTATGAAGTGTTCTTACTATCCTGTCAAAGAAAGTGTTTTTACTAAACTCCAAATAAGACCAAAACTTGTGAAGAGTTTATCGAATAAAAATCTGTGCTTCCCCAAAAAAATACTTCCAGATTCTTAGATGCGCATATATGCTGTATTTGACCCAAAACAATTTAAATTGCAGAATTGTGCTAACCATATATTGTCATTGCAGGTAACATTCGTGTGCTTTGTCGTATAAGACCCATCACAATAGGGGAGAACTTTGGCCGTTTCAGGCCTGTCGTTGCATTAGATTCGAGTAATGTTCATCTAAGACTTACTGATAATAAGAGTAAAAGTTACAGTTTCGACATGGTTTTCCACCCAGGCTCATCACAAGGTGCTTGAGTACATCAAAACTTTCTGGTTGTACGTTTGGCCTTTGAGGCTTGTTGCAACTCCAGGCCAGAAAGAAAAAAAAAAGGGCCAGTTGCAACTCTTCATGTGCTAACTTACAGAGAGCCATAATTGTTGTGATTGAAAATTTGATTATTGAAAAATTTCAGATGAAGTCTTTTCAGAAGTTGAGCCAGTCATCAAATCTGCACTTGATGGCTACAATGCATGCATATTTGCATATGGACAGACGGGCACAGGGAAAACCTTCACCATGGTGAGGAATAAGGACTGTCTTATGAAATTTTATAGGCATTCTATACATGCAAGTAAAATCTTGACATAGCCAATAAAGAAATCCATGTCATGCAAGTGAAAAAAAAAACTTAACTGGAAAGTTCAGTAGCCCAAAAGTCTCAGTTGCGTGCCTTGATCTGCCTGACATAATTTCAGTATTAAAGTGTTCTTATCTAAATTGTGTAGGAAGGAACTCCAGATTTTCCCGGAGTGGTGCCCCGTGCAATCGAAGCACTGTTTAAGCAAGCAGTGGATAGTAACCATGTGTTTCTATTCAGTTTCAGTATGCTTGAGATTTACATGGGAAATCTCAAAGACCTGCTCATTCCTCAACCAACAAAGGCAATGGATCCACTGCCACCATGGTAAAATTACATGCTGAATGTTTTAAGGCTCATGAGCTACGCAACTCACCATAAATATACTCAATTTGAGCAATAACAGATATTAACTTGATATACATTCTTGGCCCAGTCCAGAATAGCTTAAGCCTTTTGAGGTCTCAGTGGTTGTTTAATATTTCTGTTTTATTGAGAAAATACAAAATTCTATTAATACTAACAAAAAGGAGTCCACTTAAATGTACACGAAATGAAAATGAGAATGGATAGGACTATCAAACAAAAAATATAACAATTTGGATACCAGGACCCCCTACACTCCTAGCTATAATGGCCTGCAGCCTTTCAATCCATAAGAATAGCAGAGAGACGAGTCGCTTAGATTACGTAGAAACAGAAGTCCATAAGATGACCAGAATCTGATCTTTTTCCTAGGCTCCTCCTCCGTTTAGTCCACTAAAACCTTCAAAGTTGTTCCATGTAACCCAATAGCAGAGAGAGGGTTAACACATTGCATCCCAGAAAACCTTGGCTTTCTTTCCACCAGTGGTTGTCTAATAGAAATCATAGCTCTGGTTGTAGGAGGCCTTGAGTTCGAAACCTCCAATCTCCATTCCCCCACTTCTCCACTGATTTGCAAGGTACATGATCGGGCTGCACCTCTACACTTCTCTCTATCTGCATTTATCTACCTCTGCAAGCCTACATGTGAAGGAAGCTAGCTTAACATATACATTGTTGGTCCATTCCCTAAAGCGCTTAAGCTTTTGGTGTCTTGTGGTTGCCTAACAGGATTAAAAAAAAAAAAACATGGGCGGGGAAGATGATTAATACAAAAATGAAGGCCAACTTGCTACAGGTTTTATTTTGTGTCCACATCAACTTTGATAATTTATCTTTCCTGAAAAATTCTTTATGGGCTTTTTAGCCAGTTACAAATTTGATGAAGTTCAATGAACTTAATTTCACTTCTTTGTTCATTATATTGGAGGGTTGAGGAATTATATACCTGACTTATAGTATGCCTGAAAATATGACTGCATATGATAATTAGTTCCAAGGCTTTGTACTGACCACTACTAGGAGTGTTTTTCTTTTTTTTTCAAATGTTTTTTTCCCTGCACAGAGCATCAGACAAATAAAGAGCTTCATTCCTTGTCTATTTTTGCGTGTAGTTGCATTTCATTGTCACCTTGCATCTCTATCAGTTGTGTGTGTTATATAGCTCACCCCAAAAGATTATTTAAGTATTGAAAATAAATGCGGATGCTTAACAGATTTTAATGGTGTAACCAGATACTTGAATCATTTTCTAATGTAGTAGTAACACATGTAGTAGCTTTCTAGGATTGTTAATAGCAGGGTATACAAACCCGCAATTAACCCTTAAAAAATGCCAGCTACTTAACCATTGTTTTCATAATCAAGCAAGACGTTCACGCATCTGAATGAACATATCATGTCTTTGCAAATGCCTTCGGGAATCATTTGTTTTGAACTAAAGTGGTGAATGGATGCTTGAAGTAGAGTATGTCTTTTTCATGTCTTATCAGTTGAAGAAATTCAAAGTGATATTGGGAAAAATTTCCAAAGCAGCACTAACAGTAAGTTATTGCTAATTCCCACGAAGAGGAGGAAATGATGGAAGCGAATTCGCTCAATTAATCCTCTCATGGTCTCCTTAATTACATGAAAATTGTTGGCTTATTGCATCCCTTTACTTTCGTAAGTTCTATTTGTTAGTTGTGTTAAGCATTGCCTTATGAAGTAATCCTACTTTTACTTGAACAGCCTCTCGATCCAAACAGATCCAAAGGGTGGGATTGAAATTGAAAACCTTGTGGCTATTCAAGTGAGTGACTTCAACCAAGCTTTGAAACTATATAGACTAGGGTGCCGGTTCAGGTCAACTGCATCAACAAATTGTAACGTTACTTCCAGCAGATCACACTGGTAACTACTTGCCCTAATAGGAAACTGGCTGTCTCAGATATGTCTTCAGCTTTGGTTACTGGTTTTGGAAACAATACTATTATGTTCAGAGACTTTCTATTTCTGCTGTGGTAGCTTGATTCGCATATCAGTCACATGTAGTGGAGCGCCTGAGAGGCGACGAGAAACAAATAAAGTTTGGTTTATTGACCTGGGGGGAAGTGAGCGTCTGCTGAAGACAAAGGCATGGGGAAGAAGACTAGAAGAAGGAAAAGCCATTAACTTGTCACTTTCTTCTCTTGGAGATGTCATCAATGCCCTTCAGACTAGAAAGGGCCATGTACCTTACAGGTAAGAAACACAATGAATCATTATGCATTGATCCCTACTACTCGGGATAAGCAGCATACATCTCCCTTTTTGTTATTTTGTTATTAAAGCCATATCGTTAAAACTTGAATGAGAAATTAACTCTCCCATAGCCTATTTTAGTGACGGCAAGAAAATCCCACTTGATCAACTTAAATAATCAACGAAACCAGCATGCTTTTCAGTTAATATATTATACTAGTGTTGGTTGGTACTTGGTATGAGTAAGATACTAACAAGTTTTCGACTCTACACGCTTGTTAGTGTGTAATGAGTTATAAGCAATAAGACCTCACCAGTTATGATTCACTTTTATTATATAGATGGCTAATTACATAATAAGTTTTTCTTTTTTCACTAATGACAGGAATAGCAAGCTGACGCAGGTTCTTAAAGATTCCCTTGGTAATACTTTACCTCACTGGATCTACAGTATCATTCTTAATTGTAATGACTACCAAGTGACAAGAACATGCCCTACTCCAAATTTCTATGATAAACGAGGTTCTTTTGTTTTTACCTATCAAGGTCTGCCACTAAAAAAGTTTCTTGGAGTAAACTATATGCATGCAGCATCAACTAGTTATGTTATATGCCTGCTCTGGAGATGGCAAAACTTATTTTTTAAAAATACCCACCTTTTTTTTAATGGCTGTTTCACATGTACTTCAATTTTTATTTTTATCACCGTGGTCTAAATATCTTTTCTTCCCTTGATTTTATACTTTTAGGAAAGGACTCAAAAACTCTAATGCTTGTCCACATCAGTCCTAAAGAAGAAGATCTCTGTGAGACAGTGTGTTCTTTGAATTTTGCAACAAGGGTGAGAAGCGTTCATCTAGGGAATACAGATTCAACTGTAAGTAAATGTGATGATCTGTTTTTTTATATTAAATCTGACAAAGTACAAATTCCTTTTGCCTTTTTATTTTGGCCTAGTGACAGTACAGATTAAAATTACCACTATGAATTACACATAAAGATAGTCTCCAAAGTTGACCCAAAAAAAAGAGAGTCTCTAAATAACTTTGACAAAGACGCCCTAAAAGAAGCCAAGAATCTAATCCTATCCCAAAGTAGATCCGCTTCCTCTTCCTTCTTGTCAACATACCGATTGTTTCTGTCTACCCAAACAATGCACAAAGAGCAAAAATAGCAGACCATCAAAGAAAATGGCCCCTTTTTGTTAGCCTCTAAATTGCAGTACCTCTCCACCAACAAGAAATAACAACCCCAACACACATCCCTTCAAACACATCAAACAACCAGTGTGCAGCAGTCCCTCCTCCTTTTAATACAAAACACACCAATGTGGAGTGGAGACAAACATGCGTAAGGCCTTCTTCTCCAGATCATATCACAAGTATTTAGCTTCCATGGACCACTAAACCAGGTAAACTTTGCACCTTAATGGTCACACCAGCCTTCTAAACTTATATGGCTCAGCCGTTCCTAACAATTGAACACCATACAGAGTTTTCTCAAGTGAGAATCTCCACAACCATTTGCCTAGTAATGCCTGATTTCCTTTTAACAAATTTCCAATAGCTAACCCACCTTTTCCCCAGTTCCTGCACAAGATCCCAATTGATTAAATGATAATTTCCTTCTCACCACAGCTTTCCCATAAGAAGTCTCATTAATTTCTCTAAAATCCTAGCTACCCCCCCTGAGAATATGAAGATAGACAAAAAATAATAATGCTACCCTTCCCTCTCCTCCAGCCATCTAACATTTTCCACACTTTTTCTGTCACCAGATTTAGAAAAAAGATAATGCAGAAGGGTTGCTCCCAAAGATAATGCCTAAATAAGTCAGAGGTCACTCACACATCGCACAACCGAACTCTTTAGTAAGGACTCTAACTTCTCTCCCCTACATCAAAATGCACCATCATGCCTTACAATCCTGAAGCTACCCAAACAGTTCAATAATTTTAACCAGCCTCTTTCAGTGAAATTGGAGCATGATACTTGATTGATGTCGACTACATTACATAAGCTAGAGAAAAACATTTGAACTAGAAAAGGAAAAGAAGGCACATTAATACTAATAAGAACAAGTCTAGACACATGACAAAGTGCACGATGTTAGTCTAATGAGTATGTTATAGTGAAAAAGAAGAAAGCTTAATCATTACTCACTTTATCGTCTTTAACAAAACTATTGCAAGTCTTGAAGCCGTTTATGCAGGAATCATACACATATCATAGAAGGGCGGAAAAGTTGTGTAAAAATTAAAATCATAACTAAGAATATTGGTGCAAGAAAGTAGATTCATTTGATAATGAGTAATCATAAAATCAGTTTGCTGTATTACCTGGTTAGCTTGCTGCATGAATCCAAGTGCCTCATAGGAACCTCAGCTTATGCAAAAAGCTGATTTTGTTTCTATTATAAATTGTGAACTCCGGTGCCTTAATAATGACTGGAAGAAATTGAAATCAGGAAGAGAGGCAGAAGGAAGTTGCAATGATCAATCTGCAACAAAAGATGAAAATGATTGAAGTTGAGCGCCAGGATGTTAGAATGAGTATCAAGAAGTTAAATGAGGAATTGGAGAAATTAACAGGGACAACCCAATCTTCCAGTGAGAAACTGGATGCTGAAAATTTATTTAACAACTTGCCCCAAGCTAATCTTGAAATAAAAAGGAGCAAGACTAGAAATATTGCAGCAGCTCCCTCTTCGCAGGTACCAAGGTTTATGAGACCTACTATTTGCAGCAGAAGAAAATCTGGACCCGAACACCTAACTTTTGAAGAGAAAGTGAGATTCCCTGCAAGAAGGAGAAGACCAATGAACCATCATGCTAAATCTGTAAATTTCCCTGTAAAGGGTACTTCAGAAAACAACTCAGAATGTAGTATTTCCAGAAATAGCTGTTTAGTGGCTTTGAAGATGAAACGTAGTGCAGATGTAGAAACAGAATACAGTCAGGATCTATCAGAATGTGACATTAAAGAGGTTGTATTCCCAGAACAGGAAGCATCACCAAAATGCTCCAATCATCACAGAGATCGTAGCGAGGAATGTGAAAATAGACATAAAAGTAATGCTTGTTCTGCAGAATATTATGTTGATAAGTGGCTACTCCTAAATAAGAATGCACCTGCTACCAGGAGTCATTTTCACAGGAACAAACGGATTCCAGCTATTCCTACCCCAGAGAAGAAACATATATGTAATGGACAAAAAGAAAGAGACCATTTGCAGGATGAGGAAGTTCAAAACTGCAAGAATGCAATAGAACAGATTGTCAACCACAACAAATTGAAGAAGCATGGTGATGTGGAGGGATCTCAAAGGTCCATGCAAGAAGTGGTTATTACCACACCTCCCACAAATTTGAAGGATTTTGACAATATTGACTCAACATGTAACTCTGATTCTCCATCAGACGAATTTGTTGAAGATATAATAATACATACAAAAGACAAATTAGATGGCGTGCCAATGGAGACACACATATGCAACACCATTTATCCACCTGATATTTGGTACAGCAGTTTGCATTCGAATGAAGATGATAATGGGGTCAACACTTTATCCCCAAAGCAGGTACCATTTTGTGAAACAGAATCCTCAGACAGTTTCTTGTCAAACAATAGCAATTGGTGCCAAATTTCTACCTCTAATTTAGCTTATAGCATTTTGGACTCGAGAGAAGATTCTGGAATCTCAATTTCAAGAATAGAACTAAATTCAGGCTGTCAACAAGTGCCTACCACAATACGTGGGGAAGAATGTGAAAAGGAAGATCTGAACACGTTATTTCAGAGCTCTGCAGAAGGAATAAGACATGGCCTACACAAAATGAGATCTCAAAGAGCTTTACTTATGGAATATGTAACTCCAAAGGAAGCAATCAAGCCACAGCAACTGATAAAGTCACAAGAAAATGATATGAACTCAGGTAAGAAAGATAATTATGTAAATACATGTTCAATCTTTTTGAGCAATACTTTCATCCAGAAGCCTTTTCCTTTGCAAAAACACCTAATCTCCTAATGATTATGTTCTGTTCCATGGTTTCACAAGTTTCTCTTCCTCTATTTTTGTCAGGAATACGCCATCTTCTTCAACAGAAAATTCAGATTCTATGGGCCAGTGCTCTTCTAGGGTTAGGATTTCAGAACTTGGGACTAGAGCAGGAATTCTTCCTCGGTTTAATACTTTGAAGCAGCTTCAGTAGGTGACTATAAATTTAAAGTCTTAGTAAATTAATCTTCTCATGATTCTGTCCATTTGCTAGGTAACAAAATTCAATGAAATAAAGCGACATTCATATAAAAATGTGCATCGAAAAATCATATCACAATGTTTACAAGTTCAATATCTTAATTGCTTTTATGAGGCTCTTTCAGTTTCAAGTTCACAAAGCAAATCTGATTTGTACACGAAATTGAGATAACTGACAAAGACACTATATAAACCACTCTTGTGACTCTCCTTATGCAATTTCTACTTCTGAGAAGCTAATGAAGTGTCTCGTTAACCACGGAGATTCATAGAACATATAAGCTCTATATTTGGCTTCCTTGTATATCATTCTTTTAATAGGTTTAGATGATGACAGGAGCTTGCTAAGTTGCTGTTGGCATTTTGTTAAGTATCTTTCTTTCTTTGACACACCAAATCATGTATGTTGTGCCTGAAGAACAATTTGTAGGATATCATGAGGGTGAAGAGCAAGAATAGTCATGTTTTTATAATCTCTCAGCAGCTCAAAAGGACAGAAGACGTTACTTTGGAAAGAAAATACCTGCTTGTTGATGAAACCCTGGTAGAGATACGGTGATGCCAAGGAGATTTCAGATCTGGTTAAACTGGACGTTGGAAGAATTGGATTATCAAATCCTGGCTAATGGCTATTCAGCAAATTCAAGCAGCTCCCCAAAATCTTGTTGCAGATGCCCAGCCAGCTTCAACTGCCTGAAAATCTTATACAGGACTTCATATATCCTAGTGCATTCAAAGTGGGATTTGTCTCCTGCAATGAATTCATGAACTCTGTTATTCACTTCTATGGAACTCCTTCCTGGAGTCTTCTTCACACCTGTGTCCCTCATAACTTTCCTTAGCATGCCCGATTCATTCCACCTACCCAGAGAACCATATACATTAGACAAAAGTGCATAATTTCCACCATTATGGGGCTCTAGCATTATTAGATGTTGCAAAGCATGTTGTCCAAGCTCCGCATCCCCATGAATATTAGAAGCGGCAAGAAGAGAACCCCATATAGCTGCGTTTGCTTCAAATGGCATCTGTCTAACCAATTCGTGTGCCTCTTGAAGATAACCGGCACGCGCGAGTAGATCTATCATGCAGCCATAGTGCACAATTTTGGGTTTAATCCTATACTTGGAAACCATGATGCTAAAATACCAAAAGCCTATCTCAACCAATCGACCATGGCTACAAGCAGAAAGGATGGCAATGAAAGTGATATCGTTAGGCTTGATTTTAACCCTTTCCATTTGAGCAAACATTTCAAGGGCTTCTCTTCCGAGACCATGCAAAGCCAGTCCAGCAATCATGGTCGTCCAAGTTACGACAGTTTTACATTTAGTATTTTCAAAAACTTGAAGGGCTTTTGTTATGTTGCCTGACTTGGCATACATGTCAATAAGTGCGTTATTGAGAGAAACCAGCTTACGAAATTCATGCTTCTCAATATAGTTATGGATCCACTCCCCCAAATGGAGAGCCCCTAAATGGGCACATGCAGAGAGTGCGGCTAACATGGATATCTCATCAGGCTGAACATTCTCAAGCTGCATTCTCCGGAAGACTGTGATGGCCTCGTGGGGGCAGTTCACCTGAGCATATCCGGCAATCAGGGCAGTCCAAGAAATGACATTCCTAATCCTAGGGGGCATAAGTTCGAACAAATGGCGGGCATTGTCGACATCACCTGCCTTGGCATATCCTGCAATCATTGCGTTCCAGAGGGCGACATCCCTAAAGGCAAAGGCAAACGCAGCAGCTCCGTCAAACAGTGTGCGGGCGTCGGAAACACATCCACAAGAGGAATACATATGAATGAGGGCAGTGAGGACGCTTGCATCCATGTCAAAGCCAATTCCTATGATATGACAGTGAATCTGTGCGCCCACCAGTCGTTGAACTTGAGGTGGAGCCAAGCGAACGACGGCCTTGAGCACAAAAGGGAAGGAGTAGGTGTCAGGGCGCAAGGCGGCGAGTTGGATTCTGTTGTAAAGAGAGATGGCGTGGGAGGGAGAGGGAGAGAGAGCCTTGGCCTTGATGATGGTGTTATAGAGATAAATGCTTGGCTGGCCATGGGTGCGGGTGAAGACGGAATAGGCGTAATCTGAGAAGCCAAGAGAAGAGCAGGCCTGGATGAATCGGGGAAGGGTTCGGTTGTCCTGATGAAGGCCTCCGGCTACCATAAATCCATGAGCTTGCTCTATGTGTTTGAGGTTGGAGCACTGTCTCAGCCTCAGCCTCAGCAAGGACACCACCTCCGCCGAAATGGGATGAAATGGGAGCTCTCCTCCGCTCCTCATGATCTCATTCATACTAATTTCAATCAATGTGATGATGGATGGATTGAAATTATTGCAATGTAATTTCAAATTTGTGACAACCAACCACATTCAATTGAGATTTTAAAAGATTATTTAAGGATTAAAAAAATTCAATGGATTTAATAACTTATATGATTTTATTGATAATTTTGTATAATCAAGATTTTTAACTTTTGGATTTTAAAGATTATATCATAGGGAAATAGCTCAAAATGCTACTAATTTTATAATTTTTTGTGAAAATACCATCATTCCCCAAAATTTTTAAAACTACCACCTATAAATACATCTTTATTGTCGACTGATTGCACTCATATCACATTTTCAGAACTTTGGTTCTCTCTCAGCTTGCTCAGCCCCCTTTTCTCTTTTTGTCTGTCTCTCTCTCTGTGTCTTCACTTTGCTCTAGTGCAGATATGTCTTTCTTTTTGCTCTAGCGCAGATCTCTGTCTCTCTCTTTGCTCTCTCTCTAGCGTAGCTCTCTCACAGCCCTGTCTTGCTCTCTGTTCTTAATCACGAACCCCTCCCTCAACCCAGTGGCGGATCCACTATGGGGTCAGACGACCCCATGGCAAATCTGAATTTTAGTGGTAGGATCTGGTTTTTTCCCTTGGCAGCCATGGAAGCGACCCTATGGAGAAGAAGAAGCTTCATGGGCTAGCTGGGGTTCTGTTTTATATTTATTTTAAATTGCTTGGCAAAACTACGTCGTTTTGGCCAAGGCAAATTTTTTAAATGACCTAGCCAAAACGACGTCGTTTTGGGCTAGGACTTTAAAAAAAAAGAAAAAAGAAAAAAAAAGGGAGTTGAACCCTCTAAACAGCACAAACCCCAAAATTCACCACCAAAATCCCAATTTTCATATTTCTCCTCAACAACAACCCTAACCCCAATCTCCCCAAGACCTCCACCACCTCCTCCCTTGCCACCGCCGCCAAGGGTGCTAGCTGCCGTTCACTACCAGCCGTCCCCACCGCCGCCACTATTTTTGTGAAAGTTTACAATTCAATTCAAGTAATTTTTATACCTTGTAATATTGTTTTTGACATTAATTATGAGTGAAAGTACTATTGTTTCATTTTCAATATTTTTTTCATCGTAAAAAAATATTGGGTAGTTTACACTATGACCCCATGAGTGGCAATTCCTGCATCCGCCACTGCCTCGACCCCATATTTTAGGTATGTCTTATGAATAGCTGCTTGCAACTTTGAAGCTCTACTGGATCGCTAACCTCGAATAGGTAGTGTTGATGGTTATTTTCTTAATATCTGTTGGATTATGTGAAATTGGTTTTATTTTGATTGCTTGGGTTTCTGTTAAATTGGTTTTGGCTGTAATTGTTTTGGGTTAGGTTTTTTGAATTTTCATGCTCATCCATCTGGGTTTTTACCAATTGCATTTAGATTGCTCTGGATATATGAATCCTAAAACTTTGGATTTTCCATTTGATGTAGTGGATTTATATAGTGTGATTGTGATGAATCCTTGTTCACTGCTGTGTTAGTGTTGTATTATTGTTGTGTTTCTGTTATTTTATTGTTGTATTACTGTTATATTGCCGTTATATTGTATTATATTGATGTTATATTGCCATTGTATTGCCTGATTATTGTGATTGTATTGTGTTAATGAAATAAATTTTTTCATGTCAAAAATGAAGACAATTGTTATTTTGGTTTGCTACAATGGAAAATGGGTAACCTTAAAGAAGATGTGCAAATACGAAGGGGGTGACTCAAAATGCTTAATAGTTCCACGAACCATCACATTTGCTGAACTGTTGGATTGTGTGCATCAGATTAGTAATACAAGCAGCAGGAAAGATAAGGTTTGCTTAAAATTCTCAGTTTTGGTGGCCTCGAATGAGTGGAAGCACATAAAGATTGAGGACGATTATGATGTCAAAGTTTTTATGAAGCAATCTAAAAGTGTAGCCTTGGTTTTCCCTTTGCGAGATAGTATTGTTAAGGTTCGGTGGTGATTTATTTTGCATGTCTAAAATGCAGTCTGAAATGGATGTTGTTCGGCTTAATCTTCATATATGTAATTCTTGTATTAATAATTGATACAAATTAATCTCGTAATCATCCTATTATTAACTAGTAATGAGTCAAGATAAGTAAATGAAATGAAACAAAACAAGAAACCCAAAATAAACACAAACAACAATTTCTAGCACCCTTTTATCGCCACTATATCGCTACTGTATCAGCAAGGTATTGCCATTTTATTACTTTTTAGATAGAAACGAATTATGCACTTCCTCTGTTTTTCAGTTTTGCCATATGTCCATTTTTTGACCTTTAAGTTTTCTACCAATTACGCAAATTTTGTGTTCTATATATGATTGGATTGAGCACAGAAAAATGAAGAAAACTACATGGACCAAATGTCAAAAATGGATACAAAAAAGAGTATAAGTCAGTGAAAACGAACACGTCGTTTCAAATAAGTTAATTGTTATACCTCCATAAAGAGCAAGTATGTTTATATATCGAGCAGTACGAAATAGTTGAACTTCACAATCTAAAGAATAAGTATGCTAACCACGATTGCAACTCGAAAACAAAACCCAAAAATGTAAACAGTTTATGTGCCATATAAGGCAATTAGCCATTGCCACGACTGTACAATATTACATTTCACCATGTACAACATGGCCAAAAACCCTAAATTATTTCACCTTACTACATAGAATATCTAAACCAAATAGCTCTATCAAAATGGATGGATGACCATATAAAGCACCTCCAGCACAGCTTCGATGTCTGCATCTTCATATAGAGGATTTCCTGAAATAATTACGGAACACAGTGAATTCCCAAGTGATAAGTGAAAATGTGATCTTCATATAGAGGATTCACTGACATTATCATATTTACCTCATATATATGCCTCCCTCCTTAAAGTCTCAATCGCAAGCTTGAGTAGGTAATATGTGATCTTCGAAAGGTGCCTAATGTAGAGACTATAAATGAACACCTACAATTTCCCTTCTTTGGATGAAACAGAACAACAAACAAACACAGAATCCAATTGCATAAATCACCAAAACCATTAAAACCACAATGGAACGGGAATAAAACCATAATAAAATAGCAATAAAACATCAATACGATACCAATAACAACAGTAGTTTCAAACAAAGAACAAAGAACACACTCATTCACTGTTTCAAACAAGGAATCATCACAATCAAACAATTTCAGAGAAACCCATAAACCCTAAACCAAATTCAGAGAAACCCTTAAACTAATTTCATAGAAACTCATAAACCCTATACCAATTTCAGAGAAACCCCTAAACCAATTTCAAAGAAACCCCTAAACCCTAAACCAATTTCATAGAAACCATACACCCTAAACCAACTTCAAAGAAACCCAAAGAAAATGATGATGAACTGTACCTTTTGGATGTGAACAGTGGAGTTAAGCTTCGATGAACAGACATCGCTGAGGGAAGAAGACCACTGCGTCAAAGAGAGAGAGACAGAGAGAGAGACACAGATTTGCGCTAGAGCAAAGAGAGAGACAGACAGACAGACATAGAGAGAAAAGGGGGCTGAGCAAGCTGAGAGAGAACCAAATTTTTGAAAATGTAATTGGGTGCAATTAATGGACAATAAAGATGTATTTATAGGTGATAGTTTTAAAATTTTTAGGGAGGGGTGGTATTTTCACAAAAATTATAAAATTGGTGGTATTTTGAGCTATTTCCCTATATCATAAGATTTTATAAGATTTGAAAGGGCCACATATATTTATATCATAGGATTTATGTCTGGGTCTGACTAAATAGGGCTATAGCCCAAACCAAAATTTGAAACTTTTCTAAATACCAAGCCCAACAAATATAGTGAACCCAGAACAGGGGAGACTGCTGGTTTTACCATCTTAATGCTGGCCTACTGCACAGCTGGTAACTCCAGTCAAATAGTGTAAAAGGAACTTGCTTGGTTTTTTAAAATTTGTGTTACCATATGGACTGTT